AAGGGGGGGGGGGGGGGCTTGAATTCAGTTTCCCCAGTGAGCCTGAGTAGCCCCTTCTGTTGTAGTTTGAGCCAAACTAGCTTCGGAATCACAGCTGAATTTCCGGTGAAGTTAGATTGGCTGGAAAGGATCGGCCGAGAATCGCTGGAGTTGACCCAGAACATCCAGGCAGACTCACCCATCCGTTCCAGCCCCCACTCCAGAAGACCCTGAGTGAGAAGAACTAGGAGAACCTGATTAGCCGAGTCTCTGCTTGCAGATTATCATGCTTTCTTCGGGCCATAAAACTTAATTTCTGACCAGGCTCTACTCAGTTTCTCTACATTCTTGTAAGGTAGTGAAAAAAAAAAAGCTAGGGCGTGTTTTTATTTCCAGGTTATTTTGTCAGTGCAAAGAAAGATCTTCTCCAAAGCACGTGGTCTTCTCCTTTCATACTTATCTTCCACCTGCAAGCTGTTCTGCACAGCTTCTGAAGAAAAGGGGCAACTTCTTACGTGTTTTTTAAGCACCTTCTTGGGTTTTGAATTGTATTGGATGAACAGATTCCCCGGCAACAAGGGTTAGGGTTCTGCTTCTCTGTTCCTCTAAACCCCCATTGATTCTTCTATGGGGCAGAAGCTCCCTGCTCCTGCCTCTGGTGCATGAGAAGCATAGGAAGAATCCCAACAGCCGCGCTCTGTTGGATGGTCAAATTGGGGTGCAAATCAGAGTCCTGCATTTTAGAGAAGATGTTAGACTTTCATTTTTTACCATGTTTAATCTCGGGGAGATGGGATGATTACATTTTCATTTTCATCCATCCATTGGAATTTGGATAGATATGGAATGTTTGGAATTGCCAGGAAAAATCAGTCACAATTCATTAATGCATAAAGTCCCTTTCCTTTTATTTATTTATCCTCTATTAAACCCCAGATTTCTGACAACTGTTTCTACAGTTTGTTCTCCACTTGCCTTATAATCTTTTCCAATTTATTGTCCTTGGATTGTCTCACTTGACTCTCTTCAAGGCCTCCAGGACATTGCTGGCCTGCTTTCCATGAACAGCACGTTTCAGGCCCGCCTGCAAACGTCATGTACTGTAAATGGGTTGTGCCATTTCATGGAAATGAGGAATGAAGCAGGTCAAAAACTGAGGAAACTTGTGGGGTAAGAGAATGACGAGTCTTCTCCAGACTGAAGGACAAGAAGCAGAAGCCAGGAATAGAGGGACCGGACTGAGATCTTGTTCTCGACGTAGGTGGACTCTCAGGGTGATAAGCTTTTAGTTATTTTCTTTGCGTAACTGAAATGGAGGCAATTTTGCTTCAGCGTGTTGTTGTTGGAAGAATATTTGGAGTAAAAAGCTCCATTCTACTATTTCAAACTGTAACCACTGCACAGAACTTCCCTACTTCGTTATCACTCATCCAACGAAGTTTTGCAGAGCCAGAAGCACTGAAAGGCCATTTGAGATCTTCGGGGGCTGAAGAATGACCGGCTGGGCAAGAACTGCAGCTGAGCACGGGGTTGCTCGCCCTCTGACTGCTGAGAAACCGATAGTGGTGTTTGCAGGACTGAACCCAGTCCTTAATTCTGGGAATACTAATACTGCTTTTTCAATGTCTCGAAACAATTCTCTTCCCAATACCCCCTGCCCGATATCCTGAGCCCTCCTGCTTGCAGTGCTGGCTCTCAAAAGGTCCAGAAGAGATACAGAAAGGTTGGGTTGGATCACCAGGTAGGGTGCTGCATCACCGCGCCCTCATTTCTCCTGTGTAACAACTGAGGGGAAGAGGGCTTCCTTGACGTTGGGGCCAAATATCGTGGGAGGGGGCCTGGAGCAGCGGAAATGGCTGTGCTTAATATGTGAATGGTGCCTGGGCTTAGTGCACCTGTCCGGCCAAGATGAGGTTCTTGCCCTGGTCAGCTTTGGCGCTCAAGAAGCTGTTGCACGAGACTGGGGGTCGTGAACCCCTCCCTCTGTGCTCCCTCCCCCAGGGGCCCTGACTGCGCGGAGGTGATCCGCATGGAAGACAGGGTGACCTCGCTCAGCCTCAGCTCCGATCAGCTGCAGCTGCTGAGTTGCTCTCGGGACAACGCCCTCCGCCTCATCGACTTGCGGGTGTTCGCCGTCCGGCAGGTGTTCAGGTAAGGGTCTGGGACCTGGAGATGGGACTGCTCGTCCCAAGCTGGCGGCATGGTCTCGGGGGGATTGTGGGAGTTGTAGTCTACCCAGGTTGGGGGGGATTGCAGGAGGGAAGACCAGCCTCTTGAGTTAAACCAAGTACTTACCCTTGGAAGGGATGAGTAGCTAGGGGTAACTTCCCCAAGGGCCTCCAGCAAGAGTGTCCACAGGGTGTGTTAGAAAAAGCCACGATGGCGCAATTAAAGCTCTACCTGTGAGGCACATAAAAAACAGGTGGCACTTCAGTTGCACCATCACGGCCGCCATCTTGATCTCTGCACCCAAAGATAGCAGTTTGCATCTGTATGGTTCAGCTGTTTGAGCATTTGCCTCCTTGCACGGGTGGGCTTCCATCAGTTATGGGGTGGGGTTTGCCAAACGTGCCGAACGGGGCTAAGAAGGGCTTGGAGACTCTCCATGGCTTGTGGAAGCCCAACCATGGTCTTGAAAAGGCCATCACATCAAGTTGCGCTCATAAGGCAGATCAGGAATCGCCTGCTCCTGTCTGGACATGGAAGGGACCATCTTCATCAGTGGATGGAAGGAGGTCCCCAGCTAATTGAAGCCCTGCCCACCATTTTGCAGAGCTTGGCCCCCACTCTTGATTCCCAGCCCCTGCCTCTCCCTCTCCCTTCCTCCAATCCTCTGGGGTGGCTTTTCTGGAGCTCACCATCCTTCCTTCCATACTCAGAAATAGAATATTTAGGCATCGGATTCAGGAGAGAAGTGGTGAAGTGGATTAAGTCCAGAAGTTGCAGAGGTCCACTTTGAAGACAAGAGCATCAGAAATGTGGAATTTCTCCCTGGCTGGAACTGAGATGGGGTCACTTCAATCAGGGAAATTCATTCCCAGCCCTTGAAATTTTGAGTTTTGTATTCCCCAATTCCCAATATCACAAGGTCACACTCAAAGCATTTTCATGGTGCTGTTGGAGGTTTTAAATACTTGGGACTGGGGAGTCTTTTGCAAAAAC